GTATCACACTGCCAGACTTCAAACTTTACTATAGAGCTACAATAATCAAAACAGCTTGGTATTGGTACAGGAACAGGCATACAGACCAATGGAATAGAATTGAGATTCTAGAAGCAAAACCTCAATTTCTCAACCAACTCATCTTTGACAAAGTCTCCACTACCCACCACTGGGGAGAGGAGAACCTATTCAGTAAATGGTGCTGGGAAAACTGGTTGACCACATGCAGAAGACTCAAACAAGACCCCTCTCTATTCCCATACACAAAAATTAACTCTAAATGGATCAGAGACCTAAATGTAAAACCTCAAACCATAAGAACCTTAGAAAATGCAGGACAACCCCGCAATCCCCCTACTGGGAATATACCCTGAAGAACTCAAATCACGCTATAAAAAAGATACCTGCACACGTATGTTTATCGCAGCATTGTTCACAATAGCAAGAACCTGGAACCAACCATGCTGCCCATCAAAAGAGGACTGGATTTAAAAAATGTGGTACATATACACGATGGAATACTACGCAGCCATAAAAAAGAACAAAATCATGAATTTCACAGCAACCTGGATGGAACAAGAGTCTATAATACTGAGTGACCTCTCACAGAAACAAAGATCCGAGTATCACATGTTCTCACTCATATAAAGGACCTTGAACATCCAATGTAATACTATAAGAAAACGACTGACGGTACTGGGAAACTATGAGGGGGAGGGGGATGGGATTAACAGTAGCATATATCTGTCTGGGGATGGGGAAACACCTCTTATCAACAGGGTGCCTGAATGAAACATAATTGTACACCTAACCCTTAACTGTACCCCACAAAACCATAATACAAAATATTGATTTAAAAAAAAGAAAAAAAAAGAAAATGCAGGACACACCCTTATGGAAATTGGAACTGGCATCCAATTCCTGAACAAAACCCAAAACTCACAGGCATAAGAGGTAAGATAGACAAGTGGGACCTCATTAAACTGACAAGCTTCTGCAAAGTCAAAGAAACCATCAAGAGAGCAGGGAGAGAGCCCACAGACTGGGAAAAAGTATTTGCCAACTCCAGGTCTGACAAAGGCTTAACATCTTGGATCTACAAGGAACT